TTTAATTCAAAAAAGCTTGAGTGGAGCTCACCCATGGCAAAAAAAAATAAAGATTCTCGGTCTCACGTGCTAGTTAAGGTGTTATCTCGGATATTGTTGCTTGTTTCGGCTCCAAATCACAAAATTTTCGACATTCTAAAAACCTTAAATCGAGATATTCCGACTTAGTTTTTGTTAAAATTTGTATTAAAAATGCATATTAGTTATATTTTATGTGCTATATGTTATTTTGTGATTGTTTTCCGATTTAACTAATTTGTTATTTTTTTATTCGGACTATAGTATTAGTATGCTAAAAAAAATTGTAAAATAGAGAAATTGAAATTAGTAGTTAATAAAAATGTTAATTAGTTACTTTTTACTGTGGTATATATAATTTTGTGATTGTTTTGTGATTAAATTGATTTGTTATTTTTATCTGGTTTAGATTATTAATTTGCTAAAAGACTAGTAAACTAGATAAATTTTTGCGTTAGTTCCCTGTAGTGGTATCTTGTGGCCTAATGTAGTGTTCGTATTTGTAATGTAATGACCTTTTAGCATAGTAAAACGTAGTGCCCTTTAGCATAGTATCCTTGTAGTTATAGAAATGAATCATTAAGGTATCTCTTATTCCCAAAAATACGTCAAAAAGCTGATATTTAAACATAAATTATCTCCAATTATAGTCAACAAACGTAAGAACATAAGAATTCAGGATACATTGGTGCTACTGGACCTCAAATATTGTGGCCAGAACCAAAATGTGATTATTTAATAATTAAATATTGTATAGTTATGAAAATTAATTATTTAATTTTAGTATAGTAAACAATAAGTCAATAACAAACAAACAAATATATTAAATAATAAAACCAACATATTAAATAATAAAACTAACATATACAGTAATAAACTAACATATTAAATAATAACATTAATATATTAAATAATAAAACTAACATATTAAATAAAAAAACTAACATTGGTGCTACTGGGCCTCAAATATTGTGTTCGAAACTAAAGTATGAATATTTAATAATTAAATCATGTATAGTAAAAAATAGGTAAATAACTAACAAACATATAAAATAATAAAACTAACATAAAAAAGTAACGTATAAAATATAAAATTATAATATTGAAAATGTATCAATCTAATTAACAATATAGTAAAAATATCGAATAAAATTTAATATTCAAGGTATTGCAATATATTTAAGCAGTGTAAAAGAAAAATAATGTAATTAATTTTGTTCAATTTATAGTAGTCGTCATGGAGGTTCCGCTTTTGCATCCGTGACCTGCCTCCCTAGAGCTACTACAGCTATAGGCCGAGCATAGGTCTTCCTACATATGGGAGGGGGAGTTATTGGCCCAGTCTTTACGTTCTAGGAGAATAGACGATGTTTGGGACTTTCTTAAGGAATGTCAGCTCCATCCCCGTGTAGTCAGACTCCTGCAGGATACGGGTTTTTATAGGATCATTGAGATCAGTCGGTTGCAGCTGGATTGGTTGCTGCTCACGGCTTTGATAGACCGGTGGCGACCAGAGACGCACACATTCCATTTGCCCATTGGCGAGGCCACTATCATGCTGCAGGACGTAGAGATCCTTTATGGGCTGCAGGTTGATGGACTTGTTGTTGCTTTGCTGCAAGGCATGCGAGATTATATGAGAGCGCAGTACCTGGAGACTTTGCAACGGCTTACCAATTTCCGGCCAAAGGATGAGGCTGTATTGGTTGGGGCTAGTTGTATTTCGTTGACGCCCATCCGGCAGTATTTGGAGGCCATGCATGATGACATTGCTTATGATACACCAGAGGTTCATATTAACCAGTACACAAGGTTGTTGTTGCTACTTATGTTTGGAGGCGTATTGTTCCCGAACACTCCAGGAAACCTAATCAACTTGAGATTTCTTTATCATCTTGAGCAGCTAGATGATTTACCTCAATACAGCTGGGGTGTTATTGTTCTTGGTTACTTGTACCGACAGATGTGCTGGGCATGCATGGGCACCCAACGAGACGTTGTAGGATTTATGTCGCTGCTGCAGGTGAAAACATAGTCGAATACTCTCTTCATTATAACATACATCATAAAAATATACCTTAAATTTTACGTCCAAATTGTATATTAGGTTTGGGCCTGGGAGCGGTTCCTGCAGTTTCAGCCACTTCTACCACCTATAGCTCAGGATGCGCCACCTTTACCGTTTCTCCCTTTGTCTAGGAGGTGGGTTGAGAGGCGGGGATACGGACGCGAGTAAGAGGCTCGACATAATCTCCCGTATTGCAAAGATTTGTTGGATTTGTTGGAAGAAGCGCAAGTAATTCTATACTTAAGTTTACTTTGCCTGGATTTATATGTGTTGCGTATACTCGGTAATAGCTAGTTTGTCCAATTATTTTTCGAGTGAGCGACTTATGTGGAGCTCTTTCGTCCCGTTGATATGTCTCTATATTGTCAAGCAGCATGCCACCGAGTGAGTTCTTCACCAATTTGGTCGACCGCAGCATGTACCTCCACCGCCCGCTTGGGTTATAACACATTACCAGCGGGATGATCGTTCGAAGGTTGACAAGTGATTCAAAAAGAGTCAAAAAGTTGAAGGTAGTTTAATAGATCCCTCGATCCCGAAGGGTACATACATGATGTTGACGAAGAAGTTGAAGACAGTGACAATGAAATAGTGCCAGACAACGACGATAATGGCGAATGACAATTATTTTTTTGTTTAAATGGGTTTATGTTAGATTGTTGTACTGAAGTTAAACATAATTTTCTTTCATTCATTCTGCAAGATAAACAAGTACATACACTTATTACAAACACATTACGGAAACAAAACACTACGTGTATCCTTGATAGTTGGGCACATTAGATGAACTTTCACTAGGAGCTGGATTACCATCGCCATCCAAACCAGCTGAAGGACATTTACGACGGTCGTGTCCTGTTTGCGAACATATGCCACATTTACGCACATAAATGGTATCACCAACATCCATTTGGTTTCATATAAGCGTTCTTTTTTGCACTTTTAGCTTACACAAATAGTCCTTGTTATACACCATTTTACATGGTTCCGGTGACTAATAATGCTTAGCACCCACTGACTGCAACTTCCCACTATATGTGTTTAAGTATGAAATAACATTGTATTGCTTATCTACATAGTTGGTTGGCCCTAAACCTGTATGTTGAAAGCACTCGATGGTATGTGAGCACGACATATGGTAGATGGATCATTTCTCACAAGAACACAACCTGTTGGCTTCATTTATAGTATGTATATTATTCCCCCGATTTTGATGGATAGTTGTGCGAACTTCAAAAATATTTCGCTCGTTGCATTACTGTAAAAATGAATGCCATTGTGCTCGCCTCCTGTATTTCTCAAATCTTTTCATTGGGTTTGGTAGTGACAGACAATCCACGTGCAGACTTTAATAACCCATTAAAAGACTCTGATACATTTATAGTCAGGGTTCCCGATCGTCTGCCACCATCCACATGCAATGTTCACTTGTCAAGCTCATGTCGCATCAACCAATGATAGACTCTTTCATCTTCATGTCTGATCGATTCCATGTGCTTCCTGAATTTGCACTCCTGGTGATCAGTTGCAGCTATCCACATTAAATTATGCAACTCCTTGTTGGGATATTTCTTCTGAAAATTGGCCTTCAGGTGTCTCACATAGTAACAGTGGTATGCATACGGTTCCTACCATTCAGGAAATGCTCTACAGAACTTAAAATATCGCTATGCCGATCAGATATTAGACAAATACTTGAACGTTGTTTGACAACGTGCTCCTTCAAGTAGTTCAAAAATAGCGTCCACGTCTCTTGCATTGGCACAGATGGCAAAAGTTAGGGGAAATATTTGTCCATTGGCATCTACTGCAACGACGATCAACAACGCAATATCATACTTTCCATAGACATGAGTACCGTCTATGGATATTATCATCCGGCAATGCACAAACCATCAATTCTGGTATTCCCATACTCCGCTCAAGCTTCCATTCAACAAAAGTCTCGGGGTTAAAGTCTTGCAATGTTGCCATGTACCTGGATAGAGATGCAAATTACTTATCTCAGTCACCATAAACAATTTCAAAACGCACGTTTGCGCCCGAGATATGTCTTTCTCTTGGTAATGGTACACCCATATTCCTGGTGGACAGATGTAGTACACACTTTGATCTTGTACCTTATGGATGCTTTAATGTGTAAAATGAAGAGAAGAGAAATCAAGTCAACATCCAAGTTAAAGTGATTCCCATTGAATGTGTCTATTTCATAATTGTGGGTGCTAATGTATTTACCCACTTTCCACATATTTGTTTTATTCTTTATTATACGCATCATCCAATTACAACTCGTAAACCATCTATGGCAAACAACCTTTTATACATCCAGAGATGACTCCCATACCGTCATCTCACAGCACTCTTTTACGTTGTACATTTTCACAGCTCTGCTTAGGTGCACCTTATCAGGAAAAAGTAGGCCCTTTGGCAGCACCGTTGTTTTAGATTCATCCTACATTATTGTCCGAAGTTTGAAATATCCCTTATGAAGGCATCCACATCCGACGTACTTGGTAAATGATCAAGGTAGGGAATATTCCTTGAATAAAACGGCACGTGGGACTCGTACACTCTTGGTCTAACGGGAGGTGGAGTATGCTCCCTCATCAAATCAGGTTCAGCATTCTCTTCCTCCTCATTATCACCCTCGTAAAGGAAGGGTGTATCATCTCCAGACTCATCGGCATTGTTGTCATAATCACTATTCTCTTCCTAACTCTGCGCATCTGCCAGACCCCAAGTAAATACGTCATCTTCGGGAAATTGAGTGACGACAGGACCATCAAGTTGCTCGTTTTCACTGCACAATCAAAGAAATAATGAGTTACTGAAATTGGTCCAAACAATATATTTAACTTTATATATTCACTTACAAATCATAATATGTTGATATCCCATGATGCATATTATCTTGTTGATGTTGACTCCCGGATAGAGCATCATGATCCAACACACCAAAATTAGGCATATTCCAACTGGTCGTCGATTCATAACTTGTAAAATTCATATCAGGTCGGTACCCCCTGTGGAATGTAAGAGTGTTAATACAAATACAATATACAAAAATATACATCGTAACACAAAAGAAAATTAAAGTTTACTACTCGTCTTGTGTATTATGTATACTAGAGGAGAAATTATTTTCTCGCTCCTCATTCGCCCGTGGAGATAAGTTTAGATCCGGCCAAACTCTTTTAACTGGAACCTATTCGGCTAAAACTGCTCCAAAATAACCACCCAATGAATGAGGGATTTTCCTACTTTGCGCAACCTCATTATTGCAAACATCTTCAATCTTGACGTACATTTCCAACAGTTTTATCACAATAAATTCCCTGTATTTATCCGGAGTTCCCAAAAAAACTCCCAGAGTTCATCGTCTTCGATGTTAAACTTAGCATAACAAGCAACCCCTTGCGGAGTCACAAAATACGGATATCTTCCGGTTATTTTAAGATTGACCGAACATTTGCTCACACTAATTTTTGTTTACAAATCAACGATACCAATTTATCGTACTCCATTGTAATTGGCAACTTAACATGAGACTGTGGAGATAAACTATAGCTTCTTGAGATATATTTGCCACCACAACCTCACCCCCAATATAATGGAACCCTAATTTTTCGCTCTTCAGACATTATGACAAAATGCAAACAATTTAACAAAGAAAAATTTCAGAACACTTGAAGATGTTTATGAATGGATTTTTACAAAATCTTTCACCTCTTTAAATAAGGCAAAAACCAGCCCAGGGGTTCAATTATTAGAGGTATAGAGTATTTTAAAAAAACGCTATACCCAGTTGAATTATTGTTATATCAGTTAATAAGCACAGAAGAATTATTTGTGAGCCCACTTAATAAGTATAGCATTTTAGTAAAGAACGCTATATATATGTACAACATTTTAGTAAAGAACGCTATATATATAGCGTTTTTTTAAAAAAACACTATACTTAACTGGCCAAACGGCCGTTAAAGTATAGTGTGGTTCCTAAAAACGTTATATATATATATTGGTCACTAAATTTTTTTTTCCACATATTTTCGTTCTTTAAGTCTAAAAGAACCATATTTTGGTTCCGAACTCGCCAAACCATACATCTAATTAAGATAGAAGTGATTTCAGTCATCTCACATCACCTTGGTGGTAATAGTTGATGTATCTAGACATGCATAAAGCGGGAAAATTTTATTTTGTATCTCATACAACTGATACTAGTTATATAAGACATCTTCTTTGTCTCACAGTTTTGTGGACCCAAATTTTTATAGACCTAGAAGTGTAAGATTGAGGTCCACAAATTTGTGAGACAAAAAGGAGCCTCACACAATTAATGTCAGTTGTTGAGGCACACAATAAAACTTCTCCATAAAGCGTACATAAAAAAAAGGCCAACCCAATGTACTGTTCATGCAAGGTCTGGGAAAGAGTCGGAGAATATAATGTAGGTAGTAACACCATCATTCCGGCGATCAAGCAATAGCTTTAAATTTCTTTTTTGGCAAAGATTTGGTCAATATGTTAGAACTTAGAACGATTGTCATCCATGTGAATCGTCTCGAGTTTAAACAATTTAGAATCCAACATAACCCGATAGTATCTCAATAATTAATTATATTTGACCTACCGTAAAATATAAAATTGTTGTCAAGATAAATAACTCTTTGACTGTTGCAATAAAACAAATATCTTTGTTGAGCTAATTCAAGTTTCCATGAAATTTCTTTATCTAAATTAACTTTTTACAAGCTTCAAGACAGCAATATGCTCAACTTTTACCGTATAGGTAGAGCAATATATTCTTGGAACCTAGATTGTCAAGATATAACTCTCCCTCCTGCAAGGACCTCATATTTTTGTACAGTGGCTTAGGAAAAAAGGATACCACAAATAACACATAAACAAACCTGTGCCAAGATAATAGTTTAATTAATTGGGTAGGAGTCTCTTATATTATATATAATTGGTGTGCATTCGATCCCGTTACACCTTGAAAGAAGAAATATATAAGAATACGCATTTTTTCAACATCTTAATTTGTCATATTTGTTTCACCAGTCAGTAATAAAATCACTTCTATATACAAAAAAATGTTATACATGAAAAGCAAATGTTACTTCACTCAAAAGGTTCCATGATGACTTGAGAACTTGCATCTCTTG